CATGACAGGCTCAGGAAGGTAATTTCTTGAAATTATCAACTCACTGTTGTCGATGTTCCCCATGAATAACTGCAAAACATTAATTGTAATAAATTGAACTATATTTCTCAAACTCATTAATGATTCAAGTTCAAACAAAGGGAATCATGTCCGTGACAGTGTTGGGATATCTGATCTTAATTAGCATAAGAAAAATGAGTATTGCAAAGAGTGATGTGCGACTAGATATGGTTTAAGTCCTCACACTTTATGGTGCTTGCCTATATATAAAAAGAGTTACAAAGTGTATGCAGGGCTGTCATTAAGTTTTGAGTCACCTGCAGCCTTGTTCTCCACACAGGGGTAACAAATTTGTGGGTGAATTCTATCAACAACAGGCAATTCATCCACACATGTAGCATCAAGGAGAAATCAAACATACTCACCCATAACAGGTGTCCCGGGTTAATTTGACCCTTAATGACAACCCTCATATAACAATACTACACCAGAAAAAATAATTTTATATTACCCTAAACAGTTATGCTACTTTTATATGTACATAACAGGTGATATCAAGATGCCTCTTCACCTTGACATACTCCCTTTCAAGAAAAGGAAACCATGTCTCTCCGTTAATACTGTGATAAATAAAGTATGACAGCACTCTAGCACCACTGACACTTGTATCGCATCCACCCTGGACAACAGACTGTCTAACAACTGTCAGCGATGTAGAACAACCATCAAGAATTGACCACTTTTATGTACAGCTAGCTGCAGCCGTTATCTGATAGCAGACGATACTGTCATGACTTGATACTGTCATTCTACTATCTGGTACTAGTTTGACTCCTGAGGTAATACGAAGTTCCTCATCACACTCTTAAGAATAATAAATGTATTTGCTTATCAAAATCAAAATATCCTGCTTAGGGGAACAACATTTTACTCAAATGATACCTTGAATTTTGGAAGCATTTTGTTTGGGGGCTGGAACTTACTCATACTTTATTTCAGTACACACATGGGAAACAGAGGCACTGTATTAAAAAGATTTACACAAAAACACAAGACAGGAACAATCACCTTTGGTTACTTAAAGTTACTATAGAGTAGTGAACTTTTACCACCAGAAACATGGCATATAAACAGCCGGTATATAATAAACATATCAGTGATTAAATGGGTTCCCAGGAGAGGGATATACATGTTTGTAATTGTATGTGCTTGGGAACTGGGTGTTGTTTTTGCCAATTGATAAAGGTTCATAAAGTTTTTTACAAGCATTGCCACATTTACACAGATTTACATGTAACTTCAGTGATTTTTTCCCCACTGTTAAGTGTAACAGTTGTTTAATGTTGTTTTGAATTATGTGACCAAGTTGAACTTGTTGCATTACCAGGTTAAAAGCTGTTTGACAAAAGTTAAACTTGACAATTACCAAATACTACCAGGTGAAAGTTGGCTGGGAAAGATACCCACCGAATTCCACATGTACAACTTAATTTGGAAAAAAAAATCATAAACTTTGAACTTTCCCCTCTTTAGCACAGTAGACGACCCACGAGAGAAGCCAAAGCACTCGACTTATGATATTATAAGGTCAGTAGTATGCATCGATGAAGAATTGAAATTAAATCAACTGCAAAGCTAAGTTAAAGTTGGTATGAGTAGGTTTTTTAAATCGAACAGAAGAATCCGGGTCAATTGTCAAATTTTGCCTGTATACTCTAGTCATAGTCTTTGCAAACACATAAACTTAGTACCACCAGAGAGCTCAAAACCTTTGTTAGCAGGTATTTGTGTCACGTCATGTGTTCCTCGTTCATGAACAGTTGCCCGACACTAACTCGAGCTGTGTAAAAACCGCCAGTACAGTACGAACGCCAACCTTGGAAGGATTTGCTCCCCTTGAGCAAGAAAGCGTCAAATACGGTTACACGAAATGTCTCAGAAGCCTTTGCGATGCTGAGGCATTTCGGTGAGGCTTATTTGAACACCATTTGTTTCGCAAAAAGAAAATGGCGGATTATGTTTCCCAGGGGTGATTTGCGGAAACACAGTCGCGAATACTTGCCTTCTTTATAGTGGTTGAAGATATTGTTTGGACCCTCCTTACGTAACTCAAATGAGCGAGAATTCCTTGACACGAAGCACGAGCTTGCTCGTTAAGTTTTCGATCTTTCTGGCGATCCTTGTTTTGGGAGTTTCCCGTGGTTTTGACTTGGAGTCAATAGTACCAAGGAATACAGCTGGACCTAATGTATACATTGGTCCTGCTTCCGTCAAAGGTAAATTTGGGTTAAAAATCGGCTTGCGGCTCTGTGTGAATTGCACGGTGGCATACGTCACAATTTGAGACTAAACGTAATGATTCCTTGTAGTACCTGTAAGTAAACTCATAGAGGAAGCTTTACATGGTAGAGGGAAAAACGTATTGGTCTCTCTTCATATAGATAATTAAAAATGTTAATTCATACAACATAAATTAATATACATTAAACATTTGATGCATTTTTCTACCTTTTCACTGGCCGAGAGCCCACCACATGATCTTTTTTTGCCAGCAGTTTTAAAGTTTGCATTTAAAGGGTTCAAAATTTTGTCAGCATCATTAAAAAAATATTGCAACAGGCTCTGTGTCAGGGATTACGCTCTGTATGCAGGGTGCAGATGAAGAATGAAATGTCTCATTTTCTTACTGCTTGTCTCCAGTGCTGGGAGTTGCTCATGATACTGCAATTATGTGCTTGCTAGTGATGCATGCTTGTTGTTGACATAATATATCAAACACGAAAGACCGTGTTTGACCACATTTCCAAACACCGAGGAGAGAGTTGAAAATACGACACGCAGCAGAGTATTTTTGACGAACTTCGAGGTGTTTGGAAATGTGGTCAGACACTGTCTTGAGTGTTTGATATATCTTCTCAATTGAAACTAAAACTAAGGAGAAAATGGAGAAATAAAATCGTTCAAATCTATGCTAATTGAGATCAGATATCCAAACACCGTCACGGTCATGATTTCCTTTGTTTAAACTTAATGAATTATTAATGAGTTTGAGAATAACATATTCTAATCAGTTAAGCATAGCTAACACTCTGTTTCTGTAATGCTTTCAGAGTGTGATGAGGAACTTGGTATTACCTCAGGAGTCAATCTAGTACCAGATAGTCGCATTACAGCATCAAGTCATGACAGTAACTACCCACCTCATGAGGGTCGTCTGTTTTCACAGAAATGGTGGCAGCCAGCCATACATGAAAGGGGTCAATTCTTGATGGTTGATCTACAGCGGTTGACAGTTGTTACAAAATCCGCTGTCCAGGGTGGACAAGAAATAGGCGTCAGTAGTGCCAGAGTACTGTCATACTTTATTTATTATAGTATTAATGGAGACGATTGGTATCCTATTCTTGAAAAGGAGCATGTTAAGGTACAGAGACATCTTATTGTTAACTTAAATTAAATAGTTAAATGTATATTTTGTGTTAAATTGTGTGGCTTCACAGCAATATGAACCAAATACTGTGTTGTGATTGGCTACCTAAGTGTACAAGATAGGGCCATCCAATGTCAACAAATAAATGTATCAGTGAAATTCAACAGGTAACCCCTGTGTGGTAAAAATATAGCAACAGGCAAGGATCAGTACAAGCAACCAAGTATTGGTCTGCATGTCAATCATGATGCATTTTATACAGTACATATAACACCCAGGAAGTGTATGTCTATTTTGCACAATTAGGTAAGAAGGTAGAGTCCATGTTTGGCCAAGTGATCCACACTGCCATGTTTATCACTGTTTCTGTAGCATAGACAGACATCTTTCCCCGGTCTAGTTGGGATGGAAGTTCATCAAAGGGTTACCCCAATTTGTCTGTACCTATTAATATACCTGGGTGAAGAGGGGTGCTTTAAGAGCAAAGTGTCTTGTCCAAGAATGCAACAAAATAATTGCAACCAGCACTACACCTTGTCTGCTTGGTTCAGAGTCTGTCATGCTAACCTGGACATTAGACCACGCTATTTCTTACAGGTACATTCGATTCCATAAGACTGCTTCTTCAATTCTATTTCACGTTTCTTGCAGTTGTTCAGTGGAAATATCATCAGCAGTGAGTTTACTTCAATAAACATTTTTCCTGGGCCTGTCATGGTTCGTTTTGTAAAGTTTTATCCGCAAAGTTGGCGTATCTTTATTGCTTTGCGGGTTGAACTGTATGGTTGCCCAACAGGTAAATTATCTTCTAAATTACCAATTGTTGTTACTTAGTATAGGTACTCATGTGATTGCAAATGCAGTTAAGGGTTTACAAACTATAGGAGCAATATTTGAAAATTCTCTCAAGATTGCATTGAGGCTTAGAGCGAGTGCAATTTGATTTCACAAATTTTGTTTCAAAGAAGCAAATTTTTAGTTTTGGTAAACAGATTTAAAGCAAAAATATGATTGTCTTCCTTTGACATTTATAATAAACATAGTGTTGATGCAACATTATGGTTTGACCATTAAAGACTGCTTAGTAAAAATGACCTTAGGTTACCTTTGGTAAATATACCAACCCATTTACTGGCCCTGTTGTACCTGTCAGATGACATTATAAACAACAGGGTGGTAACACTCTCCCTTGGTCTCACTCAAAAGGGTTAGTTTTAATAGACATTTTAGCAGTAATTAGTGTAACTGAAAGTGGCAGGTTGCAGCACATGGAAATATATGAAATAAATGTGATGGAAAAACCCTTTTAAGTAAAAGCGCAGCCTAACATATGCAAAAAATTGTTAGCACAAGTTATTATAGCATTGCTGTGAACAACAAGTTACACAGGTTTCAGGATACCCATTAATTCTACTTTTCCATGCACATGTTGTTTCACTAAAGGCATCTCCACTAAAAGATAGTTAGTAGCTACTTACAGCCATCATAAGGATGTCCAACAAGTTAAGAGTCTGTTATCTTGAGTTGAAAAGGAACTGTCAATCTTGAACTCCACAAAATGACTAGAAATGAATGTTCCTTTTGATATATGTAGGTTTTGACCCACCACTTGGAATGAATTCCAGAGAACTTATTGATGGAAGAATTTTAGCAACATCAATAGAGAGCGCAATCTACAAAGCCAGTTATGGCCGACTTCTCCTTAGTATTGGTGGAGGTGGCTGGTGTGCAAGTCTTCAAAATACTGAACAGTATTTAGAAATCACTTTAAAAACTCAACAAGGGAGTTCATTCCTAGTAACAGCTCTGGCCACACAAGGGGTATTGAGTAAAAACAGCTGGGTCAAGTCATATTACTTTTCGTATAGCATGATCAGTGCACCGTCGTGGATTTATTACCATGATCATAACGAGAAAAAGGTAAATGTATTGAGCCATACTGTACGATCACTGTCTTTCATTATAAGAGTCTAAATAAACTGCAGAGCTGTGAACAAAGATTCTGCTTGATTGAACATTTGACCTCACAGGAGATCTACTTGTAATTAGCCAAACTTGAAAAGTGAAATGGTGAGAAGTCAAAGACTACTGCTAGGCTGACACAGAGTTGTATATTTAAAACAATATTTTTTGACAGAACCTTCAAATCTCAAACAGGCAAAAAATCTTGTTAGAAGAGAATTAATGAATCTTTTCTGAATAAATAAGCAATGTCTTAGCTGTTATTAAGCTTAAGCTAGGGTACATGTACTACATATGTGTGTGCAAGGGCACATGAATCGCAAATATTACAACTTAGTAGCTCTAACTCGTAACAACTAGTTAAGGTTCATTGGCTGCATGACTTGGACACGAAAGCAAAATGATGCATGGGGACATTTAAGACTGGAAAACTATTTCAAATAACTAAATTCATCACCCTCTCTAACGAGACATGAAATTTCCTTTCTGTTTTGCAGCTTTTTGTTGGAAACCAAGATGAAAACACTGTGGTCAAAAACCATTTCATGGGCTTTGTTTTGGCTAGCAAAATACGTATTCATCCACAAACCTGGGAAAACAGTATTTGCCTTCGAGCTGAAGTTTATGGCATTGATTATCATAGTAAGTTAACTTTGATTTTCAAAGTTTGCCATTTATTTGAATACTCACTCAGTCTGCCAGTACACTTGGTGAAGTATCTTTTTATCCTGTTTTGTGTTTCTTTTATCAAACTGTGGGCCCATAATATTGGTCAGGTTCAAGTAATTGCTGGGTTTTTAAGGGAGGGAGAAAGGAAGGTCAAGGAAGGAAGCAGGGAAGCAGGGAAGCAGGGAAGCAGGGAAACAGGGAAGCAGGGAAGCAAGTCTTGAGTATGGATGTCTTGAGTCTTGAGTCTTGAATATGGATATTTTCAGTAACTACCTGGGAATGACTTCCAGACTCTTCACAGGCAGCCCAAGCTCACGATGCAAGGAGTTATTATTTATTTTTTTAATCTTTATGCGAAGGTTCAGCACATGAAACATGACATATTGACCGCTGACATCTACTATTATATAACCACCGATTTTGGTTATGCGAAACGTGACCTTCGCCTTGCTGAAATTTTGATATTTTTGCAATAAAAATGACTTACCTCAATGCCTTGTTGTCTTTTCTATTGTCATCTCGCTTCTCAGCTCAATCCGAAGCCTTTTAAGTGAGTTATCGCTTTTTGTTTTTCCTTAGTAGAGGAAAAACAAAAAGCAATATAAAAAGCGATGTAATAGTAGATGTCGGCTGTGAATATGTCACGTTTCACGCACTGAACATTCGAATAAAGATTAAAAATAAATAAACAATAACTCCTTGAATCGTGAGCTTGGGCCGCCTGTGGATTCTTTAAAGTTTTTCAAAGTCATGATATATTCATTGGTGTTTTCTTGGTTTAATTTGTTTATTCTTCATGTTTAGTTGTACAGTAAATCCACAGACCTAATTTACATATTTTGGAGTAGATTATTAATGATGAAAAACTACTTTTGTTCAGAGTTTAAAGACTGACTTTTAACCAGTCCCGGACATTTGACTGAGAAAATGGAGAATTTTAGGTTAATTTGTAGCACTGTTAATAATTATTTTTCGATAGAGTCTCATGAATAGACCAATTTCTATGTCAACTAGACACTTTGCTGCATGTACCCAGGCAGTCATTATACTAAGAAGTACTAGCTATATTGCAATTGAGTTAAATGTTCTGCATTTGAAGTCGTACAAAATTCAATCAAATCGATGTGCTCAAGCTATTCTGCCTTTGATTGCATTTCTTGGAATCGATTAATGGCTTTAAGTACTCATAGGCCTATTGGACATGAATTCAAATGAGTGAAGGTCTTTTATAATCAGCCTAAACATTTCAGTCTATTTTCCTTAGCCTTTGTCGTTGTTGTTGTCTCTTTTTTTGCGTTTCTCAAGCAAGAGAGGCATTTTAAATTTCAGAGTTATGGTGGTGCGTGACATAGAGCTACGAACGCATTTGTCGAAAAACATATATTTATCAAGTGTGAGTTTTAGCCCATTCAGAAGTTAAAGTATTAGGGAAAGTGCTTATGTAAATGCTTGTTTGTTCAGTACAGATAATCAGTTGTCTAGATAGCCAAAGTAGGTTCCAGATGTTGACACTATTTTCCGGTTGCAATCTTGGTGTACCAGAGAGGTACACTAACATGGTGGCTCCCCACTGGGCTCTGTAAATTTGTGCAAAATATTTCGACAAATATCAGAGGTTTTTTGGGAAAATGCACAGACTTAAAACTTAGAGAAGTATCATCTTTATTAATCTCCTATAACGTCTCAATTTCTTGACTTTATCCATGAAATGGTTTTCAAATAATTTTTTTATTGCGCCAGGATTGCGTGACAGTGCAAGCCAAGAATTGTTTTGCTGGGGTCACTGACATACATTAGTATCTTTCAGCTTAAATGTACAATAATTCGCTACATGAGTTTCATTCTTGTAAAGACACATAACCCTGTTACAAGAAAATAACAAGAGAATGATCATTTAGTTCGAGATTTTAACTTTATTATTCTTTAGGAAGTTTCTCAGAGCTATTTACTAAGGTGTACTCAAACAGATACATTCGTAAACAAATTCTCTAACCTTTCTGTTCTTGTTGCTTAGACAATTTCTTGAGTTCATGCAGGGATTCTACTTGGTTCATGATCATGTCATAAAATACGACGATGCTTCTGAAGATGCTTTTTATCAAGTTGAATTAAGAGTTGATAGCCCCGGTTGATAGCTCCTTTCGTACATGATTCTTGATAAATCACTCAAATTGTTCGCTCGTAAATTGGTCTCTCGTAAGGCTTACAGACTGACCCATTCTGAAAACGCTTAACGTCCTTTAGTGTTGGTCTACTGCAAACGGTGTGTTCGTTTGTATGTGATTTCATCGCCCTAGAAATCATGGAATCTATGCTAACTTTTGATGACGACAACTTTTGTAAATTCCCCACAAGCACAGGTGACGCATGCGCTTTAGAGACCAGACAGCGATTTGTGATTGAACGAGGAAAAAACAAAGAGAGCCGAAATTTAAACCCAGGCCTCACTGCCTGGGTAAAAGGCAAATAATCATTTAAGAAACATGAACTCACAAGCTGAGTATCTGAATGTGAAACTATTAAGTGTAGAGGGAGTTTCTATATGTTGACCCTCAGATCTGCATATTATTGACTTGCCTGATTTCTCTGTAGGCAATCTTTGCATTTATAATCCAAGGCCGGACTATGTTCCCAAGTGTCATGGGTCGGGTCGTGAATGTATTGTCAGCCCATCCCGTCAAATCTTCACGTGCTATTGTGTAGCAGGATATGTGGGGAACTCTGAAAGCTGTGCAGGTACAATCATGTTACAATCATGTCCTTGAAATCTAAATGTACCTATAATGTATAGTTACTATGCTTGTCAATAAAGCATTACAAAACAAGCAATTTGACTCAACCTCAAGATGTCCCTTGTGGGGCTCCTAGCTAGGTTTACAGTGGAGTTAAGGTGGCTTACTACAGTTTTTTGGAGACTCCGTAGCACGCTCTATGATTGCCTGCCAGACATCAGTAAAATTCACGCCTGCAAAAATGACATATAACTAACCCTAAGAAGAAACAAAAACCACTTCAGCCAATGAAAGGCATTAAATCACTTCAGTATACTTAGCAATAGTTTCAAACTCCATTCAAACGTGTTTAAACCTAGGGCCAAAAAATATGACAAAAAAGCTCAATAAACAACCGGTAAAAGTGCTCCAATTTACTCTTGCCTTCTAGCATGCGATACGTGGCGTCGCATGATCATGAGTGCACGCTTAAATAAAGGGCATGCACAATTCAATTCTCGTCCAAGGTTGTAGAAGTCAGTCTTTGATCGAGTATTGCTCAAAAACCTACCATACAACCAATAATGAAATTTTCACAGTTGATTTGTAGGGGTGAATCACGTTTAGAGCCAAAATTTTTAAAAAATCTGTAAGACCGATTTTGAGATATTTTTGATCTCACATTTTCTTAGTTTGTGAAAAATCTGTCTTACAGATTTTTATTTTACTTTGCACGAATGTTAAATCAGAACCAATTGCTTATTCTTGAAATTTTGAGGTTGGCTCATACGGGTAGATTTTGAGAAAAACGTGAGTTAACCTACTTAAGTGGCCAGTCTCTCCTTAGGTACCCAGTCATTCATTGTGGCCATTTGTTAACGTTTAATTGTTCAAGTTTCGCATAGAATGGTAAAAGACTTAAGCAAACAGTAAATAGAGAAATGAAAAACATCTTGGAACATTTTTCAAAAGAGTTAGAAGTTGACTGTTGTAATCCATCATAACTGTGGTATAAGCCACCTTAAACGTACATGTTGAAATACCTCAAGAAAAATTGTCCAACACCACAAACCGCAATGTCTCCCTCTATAAAACAAACATTGTTGCTGTCAACAGATGTCGATGAATGCAGTGTGGGATACAATTTATGCGGTGAGAAACAAGCCTGTTCTAATGTGCTGGGAAATTTTCAGTGCAAATGTGCCCAAGGGTACTCTTATGATTCAGGTTCTGGAAGTTGCAAAGGTTAGTGTTGAACCCTGGCTTTTTTAACAGCAGTTGATTAATTCAATCATACAAGTGTACCATTATCACACCCAATTATTTGATTATTTAAACTACATGTATAATATTAATGTTGCCTTTGATTCTGAAATGGAAATACTTAAACTTCAATATTAAGTTCTAAGTATTTTACTGACAGTTTACAGTAGTAAGGTTTGAATTAATTCCAGACCTGGCATGACAAGAGGGCGAGCCGGGTTGTTTGTTCATTCACTGTAAACCACAGACTGCCGACAGCAGTAAAATGCAGATGGCAGACTACAGTTGTTTTAAGTGTACAATTATTGTGTTACAGTCGAACCTCTCCACAATGGCCACCACGAGGACAAAGTAAAGTTTCCATTGTAGAGAGGTAGCAGTTATGGGGAGGTGGGGGTGTGATATGAAGCCCTGGGGGATACTCCCTTATATGGGCTATATAGGCATGTGCAGCCCCAAAGAGTATGGTTTTTCTTGCAACCATTCTGGTCATAAATAGGGTATCGATTTTGGGCATTTTGGTCATAAATACAGGTTATGGTTTTTGACTTTTCTCATTATCAATAAGAACATCATTAAAGGCCCTTCATAAATTATGTTTNTCTTTATTGCTTTGCGGGTTGAACTGTATGGTTGCCCAACAGGTAAATTATCTTCTAAATTACCAATTGTTGTTACTTAGTATAGGTACTCATGTGATTGCAAATGCAGTTAAGGGTTTACAAACTATAGGAGCAATATTTGAAAATTCTCTCAAGATTGCATTGAGGCTTAGAGCGAGTGCAATTTGATTTCACAAATTTTGTTTCAAAGAAGCAAATTTTTAGTTTTGGTAAACAGATTTAAAGCAAAAATATGATTGTCTTCCTTTGACATTTATAATAAACATAGTGTTGATGCAACATTATGGTTTGACCATTAAAGACTGCTTAGTAAAAATGACCTTAGGTTACCTTTGGTAAATATACCAACCCATTTACTGGCCCTGTTGTACCTGTCAGATGACATTATAAACAACAGGGTGGTAACACTCTCCCTTGGTCTCACTCAAAAGGGTTAGTTTTAATAGACATTTTAGCAGTAATTAGTGTAACTGAAAGTGGCAGGTTGCAGCACATGGAAATATATGAAATAAATGTGATGGAAAAACCCTTTTAAGTAAAAGCGCAGCCTAACATATGCAAAAAATTGTTAGCACAAGTTATTATAGCATTGCTGTGAACAACAAGTTACACAGGTTTCAGGATACCCATTAATTCTACTTTTCCATGCACATGTTGTTTCACTAAAGGCATCTCCACTAAAAGATAGTTAGTAGCTACTTACAGCCATCATAAGGATGTCCAACAAGTTAAGAGTCTGTTATCTTGAGTTGAAAAGGAACTGTCAATCTTGAACTCCACAAAATGACTAGAAATGAATGTTCCTTTTGATATATGTAGGTTTTGACCCACCACTTGGAATGAATTCCAGAGAACTTATTGATGGAAGAATTTTAGCAACATCAATAGAGAGCGCAATCTACAAAGCCAGTTATGGCCGACTTCTCCTTAGTATTGGTGGAGGTGGCTGGTGTGCAAGTCTTCAAAATACTGAACAGTATTTAGAAATCACTTTAAAAACTCAACAAGGGAGTTCATTCCTAGTAACAGCTCTGGCCACACAAGGGGTATTGAGTAAAAACAGCTGGGTCAAGTCATATTACTTTTCGTATAGCATGATCAGTGCACCGTCGTGGATTTATTACCATGATCATAACGAGAAAAAGGTAAATGTATTGAGCCATACTGTACGATCACTGTCTTTCATTATAAGAGTCTAAATAAACTGCAGAGCTGTGAACAAAGATTCTGCTTGATTGAACATTTGACCTCACAGGAGATCTACTTGTAATTAGCCAAACTTGAAAAGTGAAATGGTGAGAAGTCAAAGACTACTGCTAGGCTGACACAGAGTTGTATATTTAAAACAATATTTTTTGACAGAACCTTCAAATCTCAAACAGGCAAAAAATCTTGTTAGAAGAGAATTAATGAATCTTTTCTGAATAAATAAGCAATGTCTTAGCTGTTATTAAGCTTAAGCTAGGGTACATGTACTACATATGTGTGTGCAAGGGCACATGAATCGCAAATATTACAACTTAGTAGCTCTAACTCGTAACAACTAGTTAAGGTTCATTGGCTGCATGACTTGGACACGAAAGCAAAATGATGCATGGGGACATTTAAGACTGGAAAACTATTTCAAATAACTAAATTCATCACCCTCTCTAACGAGACATGAAATTTCCTTTCTGTTTTGCAGCTTTTTGTTGGAAACCAAGATGAAAACACTGTGGTCAAAAACCATTTCATGGGCTTTGTTTTGGCTAGCAAAATACGTATTCATCCACAAACCTGGGAAAACAGTATTTGCCTTCGAGCTGAAGTTTATGGCATTGATTATCATAGTAAGTTAACTTTGATTTTCAAAGTTTGCCATTTATTTGAATACTCACTCAGTCTGCCAGTACACTTGGTGAAGTATCTTTTTATCCTGTTTTGTGTTTCTTTTATCAAACTGTGGGCCCATAATATTGGTCAGGTTCAAGTAATTGCTGGGTTTTTAAGGGAGGGAGAAAGGAAGGTCAAGGAAGGAAGCAGGGAAGCAGGGAAGCAGGGAAGCAGGGAAACAGGGAAGCAGGGAAGCAAGTCTTGAGTATGGATGTCTTGAGTCTTGAGTCTTGAATATGGATATTTTCAGTAACTACCTGGGAATGACTTCCAGACTCTTCACAGGCAGCCCAAGCTCACGATGCAAGGAGTTATTATTTATTTTTTTAATCTTTATGCGAAGGTTCAGCACATGAAACATGACATATTGACCGCTGACATCTACTATTATATAACCACCGATTTTGGTTATGCGAAACGTGACCTTCGCCTTGCTGAAATTTTGATATTTTTGCAATAAAAATGACTTACCTCAATGCCTTGTTGTCTTTTCTATTGTCATCTCGCTTCTCAGCTCAATCCGAAGCCTTTTAAGTGAGTTATCGCTTTTTGTTTTTCCTTAGTAGAGGAAAAACAAAAAGCAATATAAAAAGCGATGTAATAGTAGATGTCGGCTGTGAATATGTCACGTTTCACGCACTGAACATTCGAATAAAGATTAAAAATAAATAAACAATAACTCCTTGAATCGTGAGCTTGGGCCGCCTGTGGATTCTTTAAAGTTTTTCAAAGTCATGATATATTCATTGGTGTTTTCTTGGTTTAATTTGTTTATTCTTCATGTTTAGTTGTACAGTAAATCCACAGACCTAATTTACATATTTTGGAGTAGATTATTAATGATGAAAAACTACTTTTGTTCAGAGTTTAAAGACTGACTTTTAACCAGTCCCGGACATTTGACTGAGAAAATGGAGAATTTTAGGTTAATTTGTAGCACTGTTAATAATTATTTTTCGATAGAGTCTCATGAATAGACCAATTTCTATGTCAACTAGACACTTTGCTGCATGTACCCAGGCAGTCATTATACTAAGAAGTACTAGCTATATTGCAATTGAGTTAAATGTTCTGCATTTGAAGTCGTACAAAATTCAATCAAATCGATGTGCTCAAGCTATTCTGCCTTTGATTGCATTTCTTGGAATCGATTAATGGCTTTAAGTACTCATAGGCCTATTGGACATGAATTCAAATGAGTGAAGGTCTTTTATAATCAGCCTAAACATTTCAGTCTATTTTCCTTAGCCTTTGTCGTTGTTGTTGTCTCTTTTTTTGCGTTTCTCAAGCAAGAGAGGCATTTTAAATTTCAGAGTTATGGTGGTGCGTGACATAGAGCTACGAACGCATTTGTCGAAAAACATATATTTATCAAGTGTGAGTTTTAGCCCATTCAGAAGTTAAAGTATTAGGGAAAGTGCTTATGTAAATGCTTGTTTGTTCAGTACAGATAATCAGTTGTCTAGATAGCCAAAGTAGGTTCCAGATGTTGACACTATTTTCCGGTTGCAATCTTGGTGTACCAGAGAGGTACACTAACATGGTGGCTCCCCACTGGGCTCTGTAAATTTGTGCAAAATATTTCGACAAATATCAGAGGTTTTTTGGGAAAATGCACAGACTTAAAACTTAGAGAAGTATCATCTTTATTAATCTCCTATAACGTCTCAATTTCTTGACTTTATCCATGAAATGGTTTTCAAATAATTTTTTTATTGCGCCAGGATTGCGTGACAGTGCAAGCCAAGAATTGTTTTGCTGGGGTCACTGACATACATTAGTATCTTTCAGCTTAAATGTACAATAATTCGCTACATGAGTTTCATTCTTGTAAAGACACATAACCCTGTTACAAGAAAATAACAAGAGAATGATCATTTAGTTCGAGATTTTAACTTTATTATTCTTTAGGAAGTTTCTCAGAGCTATTTACTAAGGTGTACTCAAACAGATACATTCGTAAACAAATTCTCTAACCTTTCTGTTCTTGTTGCTTAGACAATTTCTTGAGTTCATGCAGGGATTCTACTTGGTTCATGATCATGTCATAAAATACGACGATGCTTCTGAAGATGCTTTTTATCAAGTTGAATTAAGAGTTGATAGCCCCGGTTGATAGCTCCTTTCGTACATGATTCTTGATAAATCACTCAAATTGTTCGCTCGTAAATTGGTCTCTCGTAAGGCTTACAGACTGACCCATTCTGAAAACGCTTAACGTCCTTTAGTGTTGGTCTACTGCAAACGGTGTGTTCGTTTGTATGTGATTTCATCGCCCTAGAAATCATGGAATCTATGCTAACTTTTGATGACGACAACTTTTGTAAATTCCCCACAAGCACAGGTGACGCATGCGCTTTAGAGACCAGACAGCGATTTGTGATTGAACGAGGAAAAAACAAAGAGAGCCGAAATTTAAACCCAGGCCTCACTGCCTGGGTAAAAGGCAAATAATCATTTAAGAAACATGAACTCACAAGCTGAGTATCTGAATGTGAAACTATTAAGTGTAGAGGGAGTTTCTATATGTTGACCCTCAGATCTGCATATTATTGACTTGCCTGATTTCTCTGTAGGCAATCTTTGCATTTATAATCCAAGGCCGGACTATGTTCCCAAGTGTCATGGGTCGGGTCGTGAATGTATTGTCAGCCCATCCCGTCAAATCTTCACGTGCTATTGTGTAGCAGGATATGTGGGGAACTCTGAAAGCTGTGCAGGTACAATCATGTTACAATCATGTCCTTGAAATCTAAATGTACCTATAATGTATAGTTACTATGCTTGTCAATAAAGCATTACAAAACAAGCAATTTGACTCAACCTCAAGATGTCCCTTGTGGGGCTCCTAGCTAGGTTTACAGTGGAGTTAAGGTGGCTTACTACAGTTTTTTGGAGACTCCGTAGCACGCTCTATGATTGCCTGCCAGACATCAGTAAAATTCACGCCTGCAAAAATGACATATAACTAACCCTAAGAAGAAACAAAAACCACTTCAGCCAATGAAAGGCATTAAATCACTTCAGTATACTTAGCAATAGTTTCAAACTCCATTCAAACGTGTTTAAACCTAGGGCCAAAAAATATGACAAAAAAGCTCAATAAACAACCGGTAAAAGTGCTCCAATTTACTCTTGCCTTCTAGCATGCGATACGTGGCGTCGCATGATCATGAGTGCACGCTTAAATAAAGGGCATGCACAATTCAATTCTCGTCCAAGGTTGTAGAAGTCAGTCTTTGATCGAGTATTGCTCAAAAACCTACCATACAACCAATAATGAAATTTTCACAGTTGATTTGTAGGGGTGAATCAC